ATTTATAAGAATTACTTTTAAATTTTAATACACAGGTGTATACATACTAGGGATACAGAGCCCTAAAAAGACTCCAGCTTTAAAACTCAAACCTTTCACAGTATCTCTTATTGCAGATTATAAGTTACTCAAATGTTGAGTGACTTATGATCTGCAAAGAGAAAAAAATTCACAAATGTTAATGACTTGGAACCAACTTTAAAGTCCTTGCCACCACTATACATAAGAACTAATGGTTTAAAAATTGATTGTTTTTATAACATAGATCATCCAAATCATATTTTAAAAATCCGGATTTGTTTAGATAAAATATCCAGAAAAAATCCGGAATATGTTTTCCTATATTTTTCTTTGAATTTTGCTTTTAGTTGAGCTGTCTCTAATTTTTTTTTAACTTTTTTTCAATTTTTCTATGAGTGAAAAAGATCAAAAAACAAATACATCACAAAAATATATACCTAAACTTGCATGTATGTAAAATGTCTTGCATATCCGGAAAAACTTTAAGTTGAAAAAATTATCCTGAATTCCAGAAATATCCGGAATAAAATAGTACCTGTTATAAAAATTAATTGCTTCTCTAAGTATTAATTTTTTCCCCAAAAGTAGTCCAAAAGTCTCTTGACATTTTTTTAAGCTCCTGTATACCAGAAACCAAGAAGAAATAATATTTTGTTACTTTCAAATTCAGCACACTTTTTGGAACTCTACATTCCTGATACATACCTTTCTTGATTTTAGACTTAAGAGATTTAGCTCTGTGCCATGGTTCAAATAGTTTTAAAGGAAGATCAATCTTTAACAACTTTTTTATTTGTCTGTTACAAAAATTGCAATTGTATCAGATACTTATTATTTCATATATTTCATTCAATATTTAGTCATAACCTACAAGTATAACAATTTTTTTTTTTATCTAGCAAAGAGTATTCTAACGAATGCAGTAGAAATCAACAATTATAAATTACTGAAACTAGTACTACCAACTACCAATAGTTGACTGAGACCTTACATGGACTTCATAGATTTTTAAACAAGTAATTTTAAAATGAAGCTGAGATCCTTTATTCTATATTTTTGTAATCATTAGGCAATCAATCAATAATACCACACTATAGACAATGAGTTAAAAGTTAAACTTTCAAAATAAAACAGTCTGAACTACACAATATACCTGAAAAAATCATTTAATTGAAGAAAAAAGTTAAAATAATTTTACAAATATTTCTTCAAACCTTTTTATAAATGTAACAAAATTTGCTCACATTAACCCAATTTTTAATTTAAAGTAATATTAAAGAAATAGGGCTTGTAATAAATTTGTATATATTTTTAACTTTTTTACATTCCTATTAGTTTTTCAAAAAATTCCTTAATAAATATCCTACTCATTTATTTGACACCAAAAGTCCTCAACATTTTTTTCAACCCCTGGACTTTATTACATTTTTTATAAGCATAACTTAAATGTTTTTTATATTTATTTATTCATAGTAAAAAAAAAAATTAATTTAATACAAAAAAAGTGTATAAAAGTCCAAGGAACTTGGGATAAATGTTGAGGATTTTTAATGCCCAATAAATGAGTGGGGATGTTATTTCCACAGCTCAGAGTGGGTAGTAAATAATAAACATTCAGCAATTTTGGATGTTTTAGCAGTACATCAAAAGTTGTACTGCTAAAACAACCAACTGCAGAACATATTGCCATTATTAGAATAAGTTGTTACCAAAATAGAGTTATTCAGAATGCAACTATTTCTTATGTAACAACGAATGAAGTAAATATACAATTTATTCAATATTTATACTACATTTTCAGATGAGAGTTATTTTAATAAGTAACCAAAATAATAATCACTAATAATCACTAATAAAAGAATAGATTGATTCTAACCTTATACTCTATATCATAAAATTTTTAAAAAAGAAATCAATAGCATTGAAAAAAAAAAAAATAAAATATTAGTAAAATGGTGATTTGAAAGTCGCTTGCTTTCTGTATATTATTGATTGCTATACATTATAAAAATAAAAAAATTTAAAACACTTATAAAATGCTTTTAAAATACTCAAGAAATGATTTTTGCTTAGAAAATAGGTAATGTGGTGGTGTTTCATAGAGAAATTCGGAGTTCAATCCCCATCATATCCCTGGTAGTAACATACTAAACTTGTTTCTTGGCACATCAGCCTTTTTTGTCAATGGCCTTTTTTGGAGTTTAAAAGTTGAGAGGTACATATTAAAAAAATAAATAGACATTGTGGCCTCTCAGCTTTGGGGAGGTAAATAACATTTAATAATAATAATAAAAAAAATTATTTTTATAAATAATACTCATTAAACAAAATTTTAAAATCATTTTTTAGTAAAATTCTTTTTCAAGAAACTGCCTTAAAAACAAAAAACTTTTTTTTTTTAAAGTTTAAATAATAAAAATTATATAACTCTTTTGCACCTAAATTTAATATTTGTAAAAATCAACATATTATACTGAAAATGATAGAATTAAAAAATAAATGATAGAAGGCACTATATTTGCAACACGAAACTCTACGTTAAATCAAATATCAATGATTTCAAACACAAATATTAGACAACAACCAAAAAAAAAAAACCTTTTTAAAGAAAAATCAGAAAATTTGACAAAAACTTTGTGAAATTCTAAATAATGCTAATCAAGAGTTGAAACTATCAGAAGAGCATCTGCAAGAAAATTAGATACAAAAAGAGTGCTCAAATATCTGTAAACCTTCAAGGTGATTGAAATTATCTACAACTTCGCCAGAACTAAATTTTTTAGAATTTCACTGTAAAATTAAACTCAATATAATGTCAATACTTTAGATACTTTTGGTGCAAAAAATTTAAAAACAATTATTGCAAATTAAGTTATATTTTTCTTTCCAAATCTTCTATTATTTTTTTTTTGTATTGTTAACAACAGTATTGTTAACAACCCATTTTGGAGCAAAAGTTTTTTTTTGCTTGCTTTAAAAAAAATTTCTGCTCCATTTTGGAGCAAAAATTTTTTTTTTGCTTGCTTAATATCTTGATAGATAATTTGTTTTGGTAAATTTGATTAACACTAACCTTATTTTTAAAAGTTTTTAATAATATGAACACAACTTGCCTAGGAACCTGGGGATCCCTTTAAGAAATGTCTATAATTTCCAATCAATTCTCCTTCATGCATATGTGGTTTGTAGATAATGACTTTGTTTGACAAGTGAGTCTTACAAAATTAATTTCTTAAAATCTTTGACTAAGGATAGATGATAAACAATTGAATATATTATTTGTATTTCTAAGAATCCATTGAAACTCTTTGATATAATGTCAAGAACTTTTACTTTATATTGAAGATTTAAAAGATGGAGATTTACACCTCTTTTGTAACTTGGTAGTGAGAGTCTTGAATTCTTTAAATGAATGCCGAGAGCTTCCTGATAATTAATGAGATTGGATCTAACTCAATCTCATCTCATATTTCAAGTATTCTTAATTTTTTTGACATTACTGAGTTTCCAAAATCATTTTTAGAGATTTCATACCAAGGACAGTGATATGTGGATGCAACCAAGAAGAACACCTGCACATTTTATCTGTACTGTGTGAAAAACCTTCAAAGCAAAGTGGTAGTGTTACTAGTATTGGTACAAGATGCTGTGACTGGTATTGTTACCAGTGAATGTTGCTCTAAACACACTAGACAGCTGAATCTTGTGATGGTCTCGTCAATCAAATTAAATAGTCAAGATTTAAAAAATGGAATTGAATGTTGATGGAACTGAATGCTGATGGACAGAATGCTGATGGACTGAATGTTGATTGACTGAATAAGCTTTGTCAATGTTTTATGGCAATGCATTCCAATAATTTGAAACTCCATTTAGTAAAAATGAATTTTTCTTTCAAATATCATAAGTTATGATCACAAGTAGAATTTGATTTAAAGTTTACTTTAAATTTAACTTTATCATAAACATTGATATTTTATATAATTTTATTTAGTCATCTCGTTGTCTTCTTTTTACAAGTGAAGGTTTTCAAAGACAAGCTATTCTATTTTTATAAAATAAACTACTGATTTAAGGGACTAACTCAGTGGCACAATACTGTGGTCTTAACATTTTTAGATACCACAAAATGTTTTCAAAAATTTGCATAAGTCCATATAAAAAAACAAAAAAGCAGTAGTTTTTTTTAAGAACATTTTGATTCTATTAGTATATGCCTATGTGCATAAACATGCTATTTTATTTGAAAATAGGTTTTTATATGAATTTGACCATGTAAAAATCTTTGCTTCAACATAATAAAATGTCAATTTATGTCAAAAAATGTTAAAATTGATTGTTTCCTAACCTAAAAGTCTTAATTTTTTCTCATTAGTAGTCCATAAGCTATTTTATATTTTTAGAGTCTCTGGATGCCAAAAACTAAAAGTAGTCTTTTTGTTACTTTCAAATCTTTTTTGGGACTCTTCATCCCTGATTGTAAGTCACAGTTAAAGACTAAATTTAAATACCTTATGAATGGCACATTCGCAAGGTATTTAAATTTAGACTTTGGCTATGACTTACAATTTTAATACCTTATGAATGGCACGTTAAAAAATCTTATTTTTTACAAAGTTTTACAAAAAAGAATTTTGTAAAAACTTGTAAAAAAAGTATTTTGTAAAAAATTGTAAAAAATCATTGTAATTTAGTTACCAAACTTTGTTTTTGTAAAAAAAAACAAAGTAAAAGATGTAAATTACAATAACATACTAAATGATTTAAAAGAAAAGAAGAAAAAACAGGATCACTAATTAATAGCATTAAGTCAATAAAAATAACTAAAAATACAATCTCATGAAAAGATGGAAAAGCAACAGAATATCTAGTTTTCTTTGTGATAATGAAGCATTAGATTAAACTTTGGTTGTAAAACTAATTACACGTACTCTCATTAATTACCAAATGTAAAATTACCATTTAAAAAATAGTCTTACAGATAATTTTTCATCTGCTCCATGTACTCAGATCTTTCAATACTGTGAGGTTCAATAGCAGAGACATCTATAATATTTCTAAAAAAAAAATTATAAAAAATGTTTATCGCATATATTTCACTCCTCACTAATATATTAAATATTACTTTAAAAACATTACAAGATTAAATAATCTATTTTCCTTTATATTTTACAAATATACTTTTTTAATATTTTTTTAAAATGTAATACGATTTCGTTCTCTTTCATAAAAATTTTATTTTACAAAATAAGTTAAACTGTTTGATTTTAAACACATCAAATATATTTAATCACCTAAAAAAAAATTTTCTTTTAGAGGGATCCCTAAGTATTTATAAACCTATTGTACAATTCAAAACTCACAGTTTTTTAACTCTGTAAAAAAAAAAACATCTCAGAACCACCTTATGACTGTTGAAACATTCAATTCTTTATTATTGACACTAATTTACTAATTGACACTGTCCATAAAACCTAAACAAAGTAAATATTAATTCACTAATAAGCATACTTTTACCTTTTTAAAATTAAAACATAAGTTGATTTTCTTAAGTTGAGTTTGAATTTTCATTGATTTAATCTGTCATTTTGCTTTCTGCTTTTTACCATAACAAGCAAGTTTCTAATACACATTGTATTCTTGTACACTTTTTATTATAAATTACACAGTTACTCAACTTAACAAAATCTGCTTTGCAAATTTACAAACTTAACAAGACCTGCTTTGCTATTTCTTGCTGTTTAAGGAGTGTTTACAAGAATAATTAGTAGATAACTGTATAACCTTCAAATTTTCGAGTATATGCATAAACATTTGTTATAAAAAGTGTCTGGTGTATTGAAGATTATTCTAGAACATTTTCGGATAGAGAGTCCTAAAAACCCGGACAGCATCCAACAATGCCAGAGTAAAAACAGCATCCAATAATACCAAAGTAAAAACTGACCCATTTTAGCATTACTATGACAAACAAAGGTCAACCTTAATCTTTAAAAGTGTCATTAATTCGAACTTAACATAATCTATATAACTTATGAAATTTATATCACATGATGTAATTTCAACACAGATGGGAAACTCAAAACTGATGTTTTACAGAATGAAATTAAAATGATATTTTTCTCATTGAATGTACAAAATTTATTATAATATAATATAACTAGCATGTAACATTGTGATGTAAATAGAAATTAAAGTTTTCAAACCACGATAGTCTGTATTATTGTTCCATTAACTAACTTGAAAATTGTAACAAGTTCTTCAGACATAAAAACCAAAGTAATGAGTTAAACGATTAGCACATTAAAAAGCAGATAAAGTATGAAATATATGCATGCATTAGAAAAAAATTAAGTGTTGTTCTGTTAATAACTCAAACCAAGAAAAACTTATCCAAGCAATTTGATTGAGTACTAGACAATACTTTTTCATACTTTTAAATATTCAAGGTTGTCCATATTTCCCTGAAAACTTAATGTGTTTTATTTATAAAACAATAATGTAAAAACATGATAAAATAGAATTAGAAGTTGGCAAAATGTTACATTTATCTTAAAACTTTTTGAGTAAACACCAGTATGCTTGAACAAGGAAATGTTATAAAACACACGTAATGCTTTTCTAAAATTTTGTTGTTATTAACAAATCGATTGACTAGACTATACTTGAAATAAAGGCAGAACAAAATAGAATATAGCCTGAACAAAACAAACTGAACCTGAAATTGTTCAGTTTGTTCTGTTTAGAGTTTCTAAACTATGAAAAAATAGCAATTAAATATTTTATTCTGCAATATGAATATAATTATATGTTAAATAAACAAAACTCTATACATGACTGAGGATATTTTAGGCAACCTTCAACATTTGCAATTTTGGCTTAAATGAGAAATAGAATTATTAAAAGAATCTAAATATAAATTGCAAGCTACTACTATTAGAGTTGGAAGTTACTGGAATAGAAAAGATAAAGTTTATAGAGCAAGATAACGATTAACAGACAACCTAAAATGTTGCAAATTATATGAATCAGGAAAACAAGATACAGGAAGCGAATTTCAAAGAACTGATGTTTGAGGAAAAAAACTGGGCGAATAAAAAAAAACAACACTTAGAAACAGTCACAGTAAAAAGATGAGACTTGAATGACAAGTAACACGAGAATGAATTTTAGTAGATGGAACAAGAGACACTAGCTTTTTAGAGCAGTGCCTATTATAGTATTTATAGAAAAGAGAAAGAGAAGCAACATTATGATGATGTGATAATGATTGGAGGTTGGCTGCAAAAGCTAGTCCAACTATATTTACAATGTTCTTTTGCACCTTGTCTAAATGAAAAAAGGTATCATTAGAAGAACCGCCCCAGATATGGCAACAACATTCCATAAAAGGACGGATTTGAGATTTATAGAAATAAAGAATAGAATCCAGAAAAGGAAAGTAGCAAGCATGATAAAGAGATGCAACCTTAGTTGTTGCATCTCTTTATCATGTTGCATCTGTTTGCTAATTTTGCAATCAATTTGATATATGGTTACCAAGAAAGATCAAAACCTTAGTTCTGATCTTTCTAGTTAATCCTAGAAGATGAAGGGTAGATGACTCATCGAGTACATTAGCAATCATAAATATAGAAAGATCTAGATTATTGCGATAACGATTAGCTGAATAAAAATTAAGTTTATCTGAGTTAAAGTTCACCACTGTGAGCCCATGCTGTAGTAGAATTGAGATCCTCTTCAAGCTCAAATGCCCCCTCCAAACAATTAGAGAGAAACAATGCTACCTTAGATGTGAGAATATTTAGAAGCTCATTAATGTAAATTTAAAAAAGTATATAGCCAAGCTGGAACCTTGAGGAACCCCTGAAGTGACAGGAGATGAAGAAGAGTGCTGTCCATTAAAGACAAGAAGCAACTCAAAAAATTATTATTTTAGATTTCACTGCCTAGAAAATGACATTTATATATATATATATACTAGGTTGGTTGAAAAGTTTGCGGAGCGGAAATGAAAAAACAATTTTATGATTCAAAAAATGACTTTATTCTTCAGTATATTCTCCCTTAAGAGCAATACACTTTTTCCAACGATTCTCCAATTCATGTATCCCATCTCTGAAGTGCGATTCCGGAAGGCCTTCAAAATACCCATTTACGGCTGCAATGACTTCTTCATGTGATGAGAAACGCTTTCCACGTAGAAATTTTTTGAGATGTGGAAAGAGGTGGAAGTCGGACGGAGCCAGATCTGGTGAATAGGGTGGATGTTCCAAGCGTTCGTACTTTAATTCGACCAATTTCGCCTTTGCAACATCGCTGATATGAGCAGGTGCGTTGTCCTGGTGATAAATGATTTTTTTATGCAGCAAACCAGGTCTTTTCTCACGAATTTTTTTATCCAACTGGTCCAAAAGATTTTTATAATATTCACCTGTTATCGTTTTACCGGTTTGAAGGTAATCTATTAATAAAATTCCTTTCGCATCCCAAAAAACTGATGCTATAACCTTCTTTG